TTTGTGCCGTAAGACCGTTTTGTATCATAATGTCTGTTGTAAAGTATGCCATAATGTTGTAAACAGCTGCGCCATGACACTTGAGATAAAACTGGTGCCTATCTTCAGTGCCTTGGTGCAGACCAGCACTTCTTGGACACAGAGTTTGTTTACCTGTAATCTTATCATTTTTCTTCTTCCTTTTGTCTAAGCATATGTGATTCTGTAGCATGTGACTTTTAATGGGGTCAGCTGGCTTGGGGGTGGGAGGCTGCGGGCGGGTCTGTGGACTTGCCGCTGATATCTCCCGGGACTCTGCCGGCAGCTGGTTGTGACCCCCGGGGCAATCCTCTGCGTCTTTCAAGAAGGGACTGGGGCTTTTCTGGTTACAGTCTCCCTGGGGTCCCTGCGCTCTGGGGAAGCTCCTGGATCTCTGGGACTAGGGGCTTCCTCCATCTTCTACACATCTTTGGGGGGCAGATCTGTGGCCAGTGGCGGTTCTACATGGAATCACTCCCTGGACGAGCTCCTCTCAGCTTGAGCCACAGTGACTGGCAGAGCAGTCCAAAAGTTGGGGTAGATCTCCAATAGATCTTTATCATGATCCATAATATTTTATAATTGCCCCTGAAATTGTATTTTAAACTGACATAAAAAAAAACTGTAGACTACCAAAAATGCCAACTTTTACAGAACAAATCGTGTAATAAATAATCAGTGCAGCCATCTGCAATAAATAAACAGGATAGTTAGTGGTGACTGGGCAGTTTTCTTCTGCTTGTAGAGTTGTTTTATTATTATGTGAACATGATCAACATGTGTTTGTTGTTGTTCAGGCAGGCCACAGGCTGCAGCGAGCATTTAACAAATCCTAGTTTGAATCAGTAAAAAAATGATTCAAGGGATTTTTTCGAACCATTTGAATATTCGTTTCAATATTTCAGCCCTATTAGCTCTGTTAGCAATTAGTTGACCGAAATTAACCGTTAAAATGCCAGTTAACTGGTTCAAAAAATTGAAAACATGCATCATGAGAGCGTACATACCTTTATCTTTCTCCTCTTTTTTTCTTTCCTGAATCGGGCACCTGGTGGTTTTAGCCTTTTTATGTTCATGTCTTCTGTTTGGCTCTTGACTCAATAAGTTTCCTTTAGTCAGGACTAAACAATTTGACCTTGATGGGTGGGTGACCACAAAATCGTTTTGTTTTTCCTTTTTTTATTCAGCCATTTCACACAATTCAGAAAAACCTGAAAGAATGATAGGTCTGTGTTTATGATATTATGAATGAAATGTGCGTTAAATGGAAGAACATCAAGATGTGATTGACTTTAGCCATGTTAATACAGTTGATTCAGCCCCTACCCGCTCATTTGATTCGGGAAAGACCCAGAGGAGAATTCCCCCGCCGCAGCCCTCCCCTTCCTCTTCTTCATACACAGCAGGAGCACCGCTCACAGGTGCTCACATTAGAGCCCTGCACTGAAGCCCTAGGCCCGACGGCCCTCGGGTCGGGCTTCGGGCCAACGACTGTGTAATTACCTCGGACACAGGCCGGGCGCCTTTATTTTTAATCGAATTCATAAAAAAAATTGAAACACAAACGCAGCAGTAGAGCCCTGCGCGGGACTGTTTTCTTCATCCCGCTCCTGCCCGTTCCCGCTGAATTTCTGACCATTACCGCCTGCAACCGCAACGTGTGTGTTACACTCCCGCCCGCACCTGCAGCCTGCATGTCTACTCCCGCCCGCAACCGCAAAACTCGGAGAAAATATTACCTCACAATAAAAGAGATGTATTGAGTTTGCGTCCTCTCTGGTCCTGGAGAAAACATGTCACAACCCGCGGCTCTTCCATCCATCTGATGCGGCTCTCTGTGCTTGTAAATTAATGAATGGATATTTAAATAAAATGCTTTATATTTTACTGAATTAATTTTATATCTGTAAGTCAATTCTAAATGTAAAGACTGTCTGCGTAAACCTGAACAGGTCCAACCCGGTCTTACTGTGAGACAGAGTTGACGCGTCACGCTTGTGCTTAATCATAGGCGCTTTCTGAGCTGAAGAGATTCTGGGCTTCTCCTCAGACGGCTCCTGGATGCGTCGCCGAATTAGAGACAGGAAAAAGGGCTATTCAGCCAAAGTTTCATAATCAGGGAACATTTTCTAAGTGAGAAGTCTCTCTGAGAGACAGGGTTTGGAAAACACTCGCTTCAGTGGGAGGAATCTTCTCGCATGCGCTCTGGTTCTGCAACGCGCTCCAAGCCAATCTCCACAACTTCAGCTCGCTGTGCACATATGAGCTGACAGCGAGATGTGCTGAGCAGCTCTGATGTTCAGATGGGAATCTTTTCTTGGGTGATTTAGCAACATCTGCGATGTGTGTAACGAATAAAATGTCAGTTCATCTGCATGCGTCGGGGTAATTCTTTCTATTCTTTCTCCGTCAAATACGGGAACTATCCGGTCAACACAAGCCCTGCTTTTGACTGTTTTGCTTTCTTGTGAAAATTGTTGGAAAGAGATAAAATTAAACTTGATTAACACCAGAGCCTGCGCCGTTATCTCCGTGACGGTAAATGAGGGGAAAACAAATTGATCGGATCCTGCACGTCTTTTAACACATTGGTCAGGATTGACGCACTTTGTTTTCATTTAGTTGGTTAAAAAAAAGTCGTGCTCGGGTCGGGCCAGCGAATCCTGAAAACCTTTTCGGGCTGGGGCTCCACCCCCTCGGGCCAGGCCGTACACCGGCTCAGATTTTAGGCCCGTGCAGGGCTCTAGCTCACATGGTGCTCTCATAAGTAAGGACTTAAGTCTTAAGGAGCAAGTCACATCAAAATCAAGTTTTTTTTTAGCTGACAACTAGTATAAATGAGTGTCTAATAGTGCTGATGACATGTGTAGTTGTTATTTTTGCATTTTGATGCATTTTCTTTGAAAACTCTAAATTCTGTCTAAAAACACCGGTCTATCACCCTCTTCATCTCAAAAGTATAGAACAAGTTTATTTTGAGTCGGCTTTAGCCAATGGCTAACGAGAACAATGCTACGTATTTCAGAAAAGTACTACGTAGCAGCTCTGTGGCTGTAGTTTATAAAAGCACTGCGGTCTCAACCAGCCTTGTAGCAGCCGGGGCTCGGAGTAGCCGCAAGTAAGTTGTGCTGTAGTTAGCATTGGGATTGTGTCAGAATCCAAGCAAAGCTTCTAGTCTTAAAATTATTTAGTTCCAGTATGTTGGCTGTTAGATTTTGTAGTTTAGTGTTTTTTTACATGTGACTCTCACCAACTTGATGGAGTTTGAACTGGGTTATGCTGGTTTGAAGAGCATTTCACAATTTAGTCTAAGCCGTTCCAGTAATTAGCCGATCCCGCCGACTGTTGCTTCCCCAAAACGGAGATTTTGGGCCCAATCTGAGGTGAGTAAACTAAACAATTACTTTTAACCCTCCCACTGTCCTAATGGGTGTGACCCCACGAGGAAAGTTGACCAATGGGCAGGGTTGATGCTTTATGCCTTTGGTCCATGTGGCAGGGGTGAGTACCACCTCACCCCTGCCACATGGACCTCAAGGGATAAACCATCAATCCTGCTCAGTGGTCAACTTTCCTCGTGGGGTCACCCATAAAGAAAGTTGGAGGGTTAACAGCTTATAAAGATTGTTCTCGACCTGTAATTTTGCAGCTATATTTGCTATATTTAAAAATGCAAAGTAAGAGAGATGTGGACGTGGTTCACGTAATTTGGCTACTATCAGTCCACACTGCCGCAGGCTCGAAGCAAGTGTTTTGTGTGTGTGTGTGTGTGTGTGTGTGTGTGTATGTGTGTGTGTGTGTGTGTGTGTGTGTGTGTGTGTGTGTGTGTGTGTGTGTGTGTGTGTGTGTGTGTGTGTGTGTGAGTGTGAGTGAGTGATAATGTCACAGATGGTTCGTGTTGAGTTTTTGTGCCAGTTAGTAATATCAGCTCTGATGCAGAGAAACGCAGGAGGGACACTGAGGAATAGCTCCTCCTGCAGCTAAAACGCTGACCTAGTTCTGGACTGGTGCTGAGTCTGGTTCTCGTTAGAATATGTCTGATCTGATTTTAACCATCTGGGTTTCTTTACCTTCTAGTTTTAACATTATGTAATTATTTTAGCTTATTGTTACACAGGTGTTGCTGCTCTTAAAAACAACTATAAATACATTTGCTGTGTCTTTATATTTCACATAGCCTCCCAGCAGCAGTGTGTGTGACACTGGGACCATGATGGGAATTCCACCCAGAGCGGCTTCTCCACTCCTGAGCGAACCCAGGTGTGGTGGAGAGCTTCTGAGCAGCTTCCATCTGAATGACAGGACAAGCTCTATGAACTGATCCAGGTAAAAACATTCTAAATAATAATATTGTACTCTGCATTCTGTTTTTTTCCTTACGTCTCAGCCTGGCTGGTCACCACTGGAGAGGAGTAGCTTCCCAGACTCACACTAGCATCTCATTTTACCTCAGGGCCTTCTGATCTAACAGAAAGACCGTTGGTTACGTATTGTAACCCCAGATTCTATGAGTCTAGTCGCAGCCCTTAAGCTAGCTGCTACTGGAAGGATGATCTCAGCATCAGCCAATCATGAAGAGCTTAAATGTACGCCCACCAATGGTGGGCACCCATTGTGGGTATATAAGTGGATCGACTCCACTGTTCGCCTCCGATGGCTTTTAGTCCTAACAGAACCAGTGGGGCCATTTGCTTAACGTGCTATTTCGTCTAGTCTTAGCCCTTAAGCTAGCTGCTATTGGAATAATGTGCAGCTGGATGGGTTTATGCCACACTGGTTAGCTCAACCAATGGACACACCCAACATGTCTCCTTTTAGTGAGGGTCGCTCAGCCTCAGCCCAGGGCTTAAAAGGCTGAGGCAGCCAGAAAGAAGAGTGGGGCCCCCACTAAAAATATCATCCACAAGAGGATGAAATTCATTCAAGTAGGGCTGATGTGGTGCCATAATCAGGGTATCCGCAGGTCCTTGAAAAGCCTTAAAGAGCAAGTAACGTCTAAATTAACTTTTTTTTGCTGATGAACTGTATAAATGAGTGTCTAATAGTGTTTTAAATGTGTGCATTCTTTATTTTAGCATTTTGGTGCATTTTCTTTAAAAATTAAAAATTCAGTCTAAAAACCACAGTAATGCGCCACCTTCAGCTGAAAACATAGAATTTGAGTCATTTTGAATAAATTTTTGCCAATGGCTAAAGAGTAAAGTACTACGTAAACCAGTAGAGTACTACGTAGCAGCTCCGTGCCAAAGTTATAAAAGCAACGAGCGTCTCGGCCACGCCCTGTGGCGAGTGGGAGTTGGATTTGCAAGCGAGTGTAGGAGGTCAGCGGCAGTTCAGCATTAGCATATAGCATTAGCATATCCTAGTCTTAGCATATCTTTTAGTGTTATAAATACTTATTTAGTGTTAGCTTGGCTGTTGGATATTGTAGTTTAGTTAGTGTTTGGCTGTTAGTGTAATTGGGAAAGTAGTTCGGGTTTAGTGCTCCATATCGTGTTAGTATTGGTGAGTAGGTGTAGTGTAGTATGCTTGCGCTGACTCTGTGGGCATTTTACCCGCGATTCTGCACGTCTCCGTTTGAAGAGGGAGGCTGCCCACCGTGGCTCTTCCGCGATTTAGATGCAGCCCACCGACTCTGCTCCCCCACCACGGCGGGCTCCAGTCTGAGGTGAGTAAGCTAAATAAACGTTTTAACATCTTCTAAAGACAATTCCCTACCTAAATGCAAAGTCTGAGAGACGTGGTTCACTTCCTTTAGCTAGTCAGTCGGTAATTCTGCAACAGTGGCTCTAACTGACGCAGCACTTGACAGACAGCATTACAGCGTGAAATCCAGCTTGTGAACAGGTTCTGTGAGGAATTCTGTTCAGGAGGTCGCATTTCAGGCTCTCCACATCATATGTGATTGACTTTTACCTTATAATGATCACACACTAGGAATGTTATAAAGCGCCTATATGGGACAGTTTCTTTTGTATATTATCTGACTTTATAAACTCCCAACAACAATGTGCTTATATATTTTTTTCAGGCTAAATCTACCCAAGACACTGGCTGTCAGACTGATTTAGCTGCAAGAATGCACTTGTCCAGGCTGACGTGAAACCTTCCCTGTAGCAAAGGTGAATTATTTTTAATAATCTTCTATGTAAACATTTTATTATTACCTTCTAGTTTTAATTTGTTTTACAGATTATTGTTACACGTGATTTTATGCTCTTTTAAACATTTATAAATGTGCTGCTTCTTTGTTTTTACATAGCCAGCCAGAATGGAGTTCACAGCCGCAGTGTGTCTGGTGACCCACGGGGACCATGATGAAAATTCATCTTCCAGAAGGTCCCAGAGCAGCGGCCACACCCCCTGAAAAGACCAAGGTGTGAGGTGTCTGCTGTTGATTCCAGCTTCCACCTCAGTGACAGTGCAAGCTCAGTGAACTGTTCAAGGTAAAAAAAAAATTAAAACATTTCAGAATTTTTAAGATATTAACAATTAAATAAGTTTGTGATTACATCATGACGGAGGCTACTGATTCTGCCCCCATGACAGTTGGTGGTGACGTGTGAGCTGATTCACCTGGAAAACAACTTTTACATGAAATATTTTGTTTTTGCTATCGACGGTGGCACAGGTGTTAAGTGCTCGCCCCGTAATCGGAAGGTTGCAGGTTCGAGCCCCGCTCAGTCTGTCGCTGTCGTTGTGTCCTTGGGCAAGGCACTTAACCCACGTTGCCTGCTGGTGGTGGTCGGAGGGACCGGTGGCGCCAGTGCTCGGCAGCCTCGCCTCTGTCAGTGCGCCCCAGGGCAGCTGTGGCTATCATCGTAGCTCATCCCCACCAGTGTGTGAATGTGTGTGTGAATGGGTGAATGACTGATTGTGTTGTAAAGCGCCTTGGGGGGTTTCAAGAACTCTAGAAGGCGCTATATCAAATACAGGCCATTTACCATTTACCATCAAAAGTAAATTAACTAATAACCTGCATTATTGCAGGACACTCAGCAAAATATGGACTCTACACCATGAGGCAGACACATGTTAATAACTCTATAAGAGCACATAAGGTGAGCAACACCACATATAGTACACTGTCCTGAATTTGTTTTCTTTCTGCATCTCATTAGCCTGGCTGATCACCTGATAACTCCTGTCATCTGGTTATGACAGCATGAGGATGTCCTCACACACCTGTAACCTATCAGCTCATCTGGCAGAATAGAGAGAAGAGACAACACCACATCTCCTGTTCCTGGAAAGCCTTCAGCCTTCCTTCGATGACCGAGAACCTCCATCAGCTCTGTCTCCTGTCTGCCTACAATTATTATAATAAATATTGTGTTTGACAAGTTTTTTTGTGCTGCCAAATATCTCATATAGATTCCAGTTTTGATATTTTAATGGATATTTATAAATTACATTAATTGAATTATCACAATGCATGTTTAACTAGCTCTATTGTGATGAATTAAACTAGCACCTCACTGTTAAAAGCTCGTTTTAATTTCAAGCATGTTTAAGTATTTATGGACATGAACTAAAACAGGAAATATATAAATTGAGATTTATTTAATTAATATAACAAATAAGGGGGAAAGAGTCATTGAAAGGCACATTCTTCTGGAAGCTCCTGATCCTGACGACACCAGCAGAGGAGACCACCTGCAGACACCAGAGGACCTAGAACCAAGAGAGCAGCTGTTATCAGAAAATAAATAAATCAGGGCAGTTTTAGTGGGCTGAACACATTACAGAATCATTTTCTCATGGGGTATTTTCATAACTTTATGCAGCAGACTGTAACTTGAGCCTAGATCTACCGGAGAGCTGCTATCCAGCACGTTTCAGTGGATTTTCCTGCTTTAACAGGTTAGATTAACTGTTAAGCAGCTCAGCTATTTGTTGCTGATTAAAACCAGGTGTGCTGAAGCAGATAAACCTCTAAAACATGCTGAATACTAGCTCTAGGGCCGTGGAGACAAACCCTGCAGCTAATCCAATGCTATGGCTAACAGCTACTTACGTTCAGAGGTGGTTCTTTTGGGTCGGTTCTGGGAGTTACAGGCAACTCACAAGCTCAAAACAATAAGGCTCAGGTCCGCTTGTCTCCTCCAAATAGACTTGGTCCCTTTCTTCTCGAGTGTCTGGGTAAGGAGGGGGAGAAACATCCTCCACTTCTAATAACTGCATAGAGTGAAGGGAGCTAGCATTGTCTAGTTAGCCGTCGTCTTCGTCACTGCCGCGGCTCCGCCCTCTCGGTCCTCCAGGCAACGCCTACTAATGTTGCATTTTTTAAAATTGATACGTGGGTGGAGAAGGACTCCGAGGCTCAATTGACCCGCTCTTTAAAAAGTCTGAAATTTACTTTTCCAAATTTAAGGCCTTGAAAATCCTTCAAAATGACAAATAATCCTTAAATACAGTTTCCAAAGGTCTTAAATTACCAAAGACCCAATAAACTAGATTATTTTATTTCTATGAAATTTTTGTGAATTTCTAGTTAGTGATGAGCATTTTGGTGTATGATGTTGTCATAAGCGGAACCATACACATTCAGTTGGTTGTGACAGGGGACTATTTTTAGATGAGCAGATTAGCTGGTTAAGCTAGTGGGAGCTTGCGCCATGGGGAAGTGCAAGTTTAATGGTAACTGGATGGCTAATCCTACGTTTGCGACGTGGTTAGCACTGGTTCCAGGCAAGCTGGAAATTATAGCTTAAATTTAGTTAAAAAAAATTAACTTAAATTTGGTCAAAGTGGCCTTAAAAAAGGTCTTAAAAAATCTTAAATTTGGCTCCCTTAAACCTGCAGATACCCTGCATAATGCTTTCACTCAGCCTGCTGAGGTCCAAGCACTGAACGAGTGATGGATCCTGAAGACACGTCTCGTAAATAATAACGAGTAAAGGAACAGGGTGAAGCCCATGAAGCAGCCTGACAAATGTCTTCCATCGACACACCACTGTGGAGCGCCATAGAAGAGGAAATCCCTCTGGCTGAGTGAGCCCTGAGTGTCTTAGGAGGATCCCACCCTGATGATGTGTAAGCGAGTGAAATGGTGTCACACAGCCAGTGTGAAAGATGCTGGGTCCACAGCGCTTGCCCAAGGGAAGAATCTCTGTAGTGCACAAACAGGCTTTGTGAGCGGCGAGTCCCTGAAGTGCGTGACACATATCGTACGAGCGCGTGCACCGGGCAGAGAAGGTGGGAAGCCGCCTCCTCATCAGAATTATGGGGAGGAGGAAAAAGTCCAGCCAATGAAATTGACCTGGATTTGAAGGAAGTATTAATGCTTTTGGGCACAAAGGCTGGGTTGGGGCATAAAACAGCGGACCCGCCATCTTCCCGGATCCTGAGGCATGCGGGAGCCACTGAGTGGGCGGTTAGGTCACTCACTCTCTTGACTGATGCCAGCGCCAGCAGCAAGGCAGTTTTGAGTGACAGGAACTTGAGTGAGACCTGGTCCAATGGTTCAAATGGGGCTTCAGATAAGCCGTGCAGAACCACCGTTAGATCCCACTGGGGAAATAGCAGACAAAGGTGTCAGAAGGAACAGGACTGTTCCTTCTGACACCTTTTAGAAAACGTTTTGTGAGGGGATGATTGAAAACAGATCTATCTCCAAAACTCTGGTGACAGGATGAGATAGCTGCAGCATATGTTTTAATAGTGCTTAATGCGAGGCTCCTGTCCATCAGTATCTGCAGAAATGATAGGACATCCGCCAGCTGGCATGAGAGCGCTTGAACATTCCGCTCTGTGCACCATTTTTGGAAAGCTGCCCATTTAGCAGCATAATATGTGACGGTAGAAGGCGCCCGCGCACTCTGAATCGTGGCGACGACATCATGCAGCAGCCCAGAAGCCTCTAAGCGTGACCGCTCAGCAGCCAGACCCACAGCCGTTGGCCTATTTCTGGAGGATGTTTGATTATCCCATCCGCCTGGAGAAGGGTGTCCGCCCTCCACGGGGAGCCGGACACTAGCGTCTGCAGATCTGGAAACCATGACGCGGACAAGCATCTGGGAGCTACCAGAATTACAGAGAGCTGTTCCGACCGAACTCGGTCCAGGAGACGGGGAATCAGTGGGACTGGCGGGAACGCATACAGGAGCGTCTGAGGCCAGGGCTGGTGTGAGAAGGCGTCCGCTCCGAATGGGGGGTGGTCCCGGGGACTCAGGGAAAACCACAGGCGACACTGAGTGTTTTTGCGAACCGCGAACAGATCCACAGAGGGTTCCCCGAACCTGATCCATATCTGTGATATCAGTGCGGGATGCAAGCGCCAGTCGGAGTCGCAGGGTCTCCCTCTTGACAGGATGTCTGCTGCCACATTCAGGACCCCCGGAATGTAGGTGGCTTTGATGGACAGCAGGTGGACATGTGCCCAACACAGTAAATCTGTGGCTACGCGCAATAGTGGGAGGGATCGAACTCCCCCTTGTCGATTTATGTAGGCTGCCGCCACCTGGTTGTCTGTGTGAACTTCGACATGACGGCCCTTGGGAAGGGCAGCAAAGTGTCGGATCACATTTCTCACTGTCATAAGCTCCAACACATTTATGTGCTCGTGCGTGTGGGAGGGCCGCGATCTGCCACCATATGGGCCAAGCACGTGCCCCCCCATCCCAACAGTGACGCATCCGTAAACACAGATACGTGTGAAGTAGTAGGTCCGATGGGGACCCCGTGTGAGAGGATGCAGGGATTCCCCCAGTGAGTGAGGTCCCCGCCCACTGAAGGGGAAACCCTCAACATACGTCTCTTCTGACGTATCGGGTGTACCCGGAGGCAGATGAACCAACGCTGTAGGCGTCTCGTGTGCAGTAAACCTAACGGCACCACAGCGTGAGCTGCAGCCATCATGCCCAGAAGTTTCATGACTAACAGGGCTCTCACGATCTTGTGGGGTTGCACGCGGGAGATCACAGTGGTCAGATCTGCCGCTCTCGCCGGAGACAAACGTGCTCTCATTAGGGAGGCGCTCAGCTCCACCCCGAGAAACACAATCGACTGGGATGGATGGATGTAGCTCTTTTCCCTGTTTATGGAAAACCCCAGGGTTGACAGATGCTCTGTTAACTTCCTGGTTTGCTCTGACGCCTCGTCCTTGGACCGGGCGCATAGGAGCAGATCGTCCAGGTAAAATAAAACCCTCATTCCCGCCGTACGCAATGGCTGCAGCGCGGTCTCCAGACATTTGGAGAAGGTGCGCATCTGCAGTGATGCGGACACTGAACCGATCTGTCGTGGTGAAGAGGGAGCTGAGCCAGAAAGCCAGGCTTTCGATTTACCGGTCGATCTACATCCCAATCCTCACCTATGGTCATGAGCTTTGGGTAATGACCGAAAGAACAAGATCGCGGATGCAAGCAGCCGAAATGAGTTTCCTCTGTAGGGTGGCCGGGCTCAACCTTAGAAATAGGGTGAGGAGCTTGGACATTCGGGAGGGACTCGGAGTAGAACCGCTGCTCCTCCGGATCGAAAGGAGTCAGTTGAGGTTGTTTCGGCATCTGGTCAGGATGCCCCCTGGGTGCCTCCCTGGGGAGGTGTTTTGGGCATGTCCTGCCAGCAGGAGGCCCCCGGGTTGACCCCGGACACGTTGGAGAGGTTACAGCTCCAATCTGGTCTGGGAACACCTTGGGGTCCTGCCGGCGGAGCTGGTGGAGCTTACCGGGTTGAGGACTGTCTGGAGCTCCCTAGTTGGGATGCTGCCCCCGCGACTCGGACCCAGATAAGCGGAGGAAGATGACAACGATGACGACATTAAAGCAGAAGCTTTGATGCTCCACCTGAGAGTAAATCTTACGTCCCGGTCCGACTGCTCAGGTCATCACAAGATAGTCGGCTAGCAGCGCCTACACAACGCTCAAGACAATCCAGGCTCTTCTCATGCATCGTTCCACAAATGCGGAATGACCTACCACGCACTACCAGAAAAGGGGCTTCCTTTTCAATTTTCAAGAAACTCTTGAAGACCCTGCTCTTCAGAGAACATCTTCTAAACTAGCACCTTGCCTGCACCCGTCCCCCCTCTCTGCTGTCCACTCCTTGTTCCCTCCTCTCCATGATTGATATCAAGTTGTTGTTGTTATTGTTGTTGTTAGCCTCAAGGGCAACATGGCGAATATCACTTGTGAATCGCTTTGGACAAAAGCGTCTGCTAAATACATAAACATAAATAGACATAAATCTGTAAGGCTTGTCACCAGCATTCAGACATTAATTCTGTTTACTTCACAGCCAGACAGAATACGGGGAAAAGAAAAAAATATATATATTTTTCACACTGTGGGATAAATAAAGTCTATTCTATTCTATAAACCAAATAAACCATAAAATGACAATTGGTTTCATGAAAAGCCTTTTTTTCCCTTTCTATTGAATGAAAAAATAGAATAGAGAACATTTTATGTGCTAATGTTTTTGGGGATTGGGGAGTAATTATGACACGTCTCACCTTTATACACCTTTATATAATTGTTGGAATATGGGACCAGTTAGCCTACATTATTTGACAACATACCCTGCATGATGTGTGGCATTGGTTCTATAACCTGACCACAGCTATCTTCCTCTGCCTTTCGTTTCTTTGAAAAATACTTGAGCAGGCTCATCTGAAATTGAAACCCATACCGGATTAATACATGCACAGTGGGTAGACACATTACTTTTTTAAGCTAACATGACTTTCTGGCTCCTTTAAATTGGTCCAAGA